GATGGGGAATCCTTGATCGATCACAAGTCCACAGTTCAAAACTTGAACGGGTGTGTTTCTGTTGTACATAAACTTTTCATATGYATTAAGTGCTATAGGCTCATACTTTTTTCCATGTTCAAAGTTCCTTGTGTTAACATCTTTGGGATGGATTAGATTGGAAGCAAGCGTGTCGTGGTTTCTTTGACGCTTTGAAATCAGATGGAAATTAGATGCTGTAAATCTAAATTTGCGTTAATCTTTCCAGCGAGTCGTGTTTGCCTGTTGTCTTGTCTCTTTTTCTAGTTGATCAATCTCTGCTTCACTGATCTTTACTTTGTTTAACACACATTGTTCATTTAAAGTTAAGTCATGGGGAACAACCATTTCAATTTGACTTTTTGTAAATGCTGGATATGTTACTACATTAGTAGCAACCAATGCTCTTGGAATTGATCTTATGTCAGCAGCTGCTTCAAAGTTGGCTTCTGTGAATCCAAGTTGATGTACAAGTGTTGATCCAGCTTTRAAACKTCCAAACTTGGTTTCTTGAGCTCCATTTGTATCAAGATTGTCACGGAACATGTGAGCAAAGCCACAATTTGGATTTATTTTTGAAAAATCCTCTTTCAAAGTCCTCTCAGCTGCATCAGAATGGCTTGGTTCAGCCCTTGCTTCATATAATAATGGCTTCCCACATGACTTTGATACATCCCCGTCCATTTTAGTCTTCTTGACTAGTACTTCAAGAACAGGTTCAGGTGCAATGTTAGAACCACCTCCTTTTTTATGCCACTTCTGTAMCAATGAAGTTGAGGAGGTGATAGGCTGCTGATCATCTTCTAGACTTAAATCCAWAGTCGACTGACAATCATTCATATAAAATTTGCATATTTTGAACATTAATGCAAGTACATGGTTACAAAAGCCAACTCTTCCCGCCACACAGGAGCAAACACATTTGATGACTTTTCCCGAGATAATACAGAGTCCAATCTTCAATGTATGTGGAGGATCGTTCTTTCTAAAGCTATGAGAACATTTAGCCCGAAAGAAGAAGTATTTATCGTTGCTTGTACTCTCGATTTCTTGCAAGTACTCGTCGTCCAGGAATCTTTTCGCTTTTCGTAAATTTGTAGGTACTGAATGGTTATCTTTATTTCCAAAATTCTTGCCGGACTTTGCTACATGATCATTCATTTCAGCTTTTGAAAACACAGGCATCTTTTCGAGAGAATGACCCSAACCAWCTGATGGAAATTGAAGGTTACAGTCGGTGTCGGCGTCTGTTTCAGGCAAGTGAGCGAGTCTTTGCTTTCTTCTTGAATAGATTTTGTGTTCGTCTGGATCGAAGATTTCCTTGTCTTTACCCGAGTTGATATAATCGTAAACCCTAAAAATATGCGTTGTTAGAAGTCTTATAGGCACTAAATTAACGTAAGCTTTGAGTGTATTTTGTATCTTGGCTATAAATCGCACCACTCGTGTACATATAAAACATCGCATTCGAACGTTTACCTCTTCACTAACTGAGCCTTGGTTTTTAATCCTTTTGCGACATCACCTCGACATTTGAGCCAAAACTTAAGTTCGTCATTCTTAAGTTCTTCTGGTTTTCTCCCAAGTAGAGATGCGCCTGGAATATCGCTTTCGCATAGAGTATAAAGAACGCTTTGATTCACGCTAGACGCCATAGTTGTTTACTGATTCGAGGCCTTTGTGGCCTCGATTTGATGCGAGCTCNGTTAATTAGCACACAACACTCCTCACAGCTATTTTTTAATTGAGGAAGGAAAACCAGCGTACCTGGAGAAAAACCCTGGGAGCAAGGAAAGAACCAGCCTAAATTCAAATCACATAATCCCAGATCAGGACAACAGGACCACAACGGTGATAGACCGGACGTGTATTAAGTCTATGACTTGTCATTTGTGTTCCTACAAAAGTGAATAAGAAAATAAAATAAATTAATGTCTTCAGTACGGTTGCATTAAAAAAATGCGTACATAAGTACAAAGTAACGAACAAGCGAAACATGCAAATGAGCCCATATTTCATTATTATTTAATATTTATATATGTTATAATTATGCACTAACCACCCCAAGTATCTGCCGTTCTTTAACAAATTCTAATTTACATGGTGTTCGTAGTTCTGATCGAAGCTTGGATACGTTTACATATAAGCCTTTYAGGTAAGATTTTTAAAACTGCTCTACGAATTTTACGCATTTTGATGCAGTAAAACAACGGGTTTAAAAGAGAGTTAAGGTAGATAAAAATATAACTAGAGCAAAGTGCTGTGTACGAGATTTTGTCTATGTTATAGCTGTTCTTAATAAGACCGTGCAGTTTTATTCCAAGAAATGGTGCATAGCACAAAACAAAAAACAAATAAACCCAAAGCATATTTATGGAGGTTTTTCGTTTCTGCGTCATACTGGTAGTGTTAATCTGTATCTGTTTATGCTGCCGTTGGATATCTATTCGATGACGACGAAGAATTCTAAAAATGAGTACATTGTTAACAGGGCAGATTGTCAAACAGATTGAGAGAGCAATGACAGTGCTCCATAACATCAACTGGTTGAACCAAAAGTACGAACTGGACACCATAAACGTGAGAATCCAGAAGAAAACCAAGGAAGCTAGCACCCGTTTATTGGTGACGATAGCGTTATACCGCATATGGTACTTTAGAGCAATGACCCTTTCAATGCTGACTAGTGTAATAGTGATATAAGAGAGAACTGGAAATGGCACCGCAAGTAAATATGACAATATGTTCATRTCACACCACAACTTATCCAGCTTCAAAATGTATGTTATTCCTATTATGACATATGTGCTCWTTCCCAGCAAACCTGCCCCCAGATCTGTAAGAGCCAAGCCACAAAGAAGAACATTGCTTGGTGTATGTAATGTAGGAGATTTGTAGATGCCAACAAGAACTAGAGCGTTAAGTAGGACTGTAGGAAGAATCAAYAACGATACCACAATACACGATGATGTAAAAAAGTATTTAAGGTCTAGCTTTAAATACTCATTTAGTTCGAAAAATACACAGTGATTGCCTTGAAATTCTGTTGTATTTCTGGATACTTCCATTCTTAATAACTCCTGCTTGAAGTGTGTAACGTTATACTTTCAAGACGAGCTTTTTATATGAACAATACAGATTGAAACTGGTTGCACCTGTCATGTCAAGTTTTATTTTGCTTTTGCTTCATTGTTGATTTTTAACTCTTTTCATGCTGTGGAAAACAGTTATGGTTTGCTTGTTTGCCACTGAATGATTTTATCTTTTGTCCATTTTGTGTTTCATAATGCTTTTTTCACTCGTGATCCTTGTTTCTTTCATCCACTTTTACCTCCTTTGATTGACATTGTGGTATTTAATTCAAAACGGTTAGCTTTGCCTTTGGCTGACATGATTAATCTGCCATTACTTTCATTGTCAGTGTTTTTATTTCAACATCATCGCTTGCATGTATACTGTAATACCTGTGACGGCAGATATTGACATTTACAAAGAGCATTTCTCAATAGTCGTCGACCCACTGGCATCTTTAGGCATAATGATTTCCATTCTTTCTAGTATATAATCAAAGCAGAGCAGAAATATATTTCTTCATATTCCCAATGACACCTGCCTACACTCTAATTTGAAAATTTTAATAAAAAAAATCGACTGAGTTATGAAATTTCTGCTAGGAGAATAATGAATTGATATATTAGTCGTTTTGTATGTAATGTTTAAAGTCCGACAATGAGGACTGGATTTTCAAGTCCGCGCAATTAGTTCCAGTCCGAGGCGTTAGCTTATTATTAGTTTATTACTATTTTATTATTAATTTATTACTAGTTATTATTAGTTTATTACTAATAAATTAATCAATAGTGTCGATTTAAGATATTTTCTCTTACGGTCTGTTAAACTCTGCGGACTGTTTACAATTCTTCTTTCTATAGGCAAGTTACTATCTGAATTCAACTACGATTGCAGTGATGAACCATTCCAACTTCTTTCAAAATGATTGCAAGTACGACGAGTCTAGTGCCGTACGAAACGCCAAGCTAACAGCGTGTTTGCTGTTTGGTGGAACTGGTGTATTTGKTAATATCATCGTACTTGCTGTAAAATACACAGACAGAAGAAATCTCCATTTTCTGATCATCAACATGGCCGTGTCAGATGCTCTTGTTATCATCGTTCATACATGCAATTATGTGTTGAATAGCTTCTTTTACAATATATTGGACGAACTTCATGGTATATTTGGTGACGTCCTCTGTAAAACAACCCTTTTCCTGGCAATTGTTAGTTCGTCTGTTTCAGTGTTTAGTTTGTTGATCATTAGCATAGAGCGCTATAAAATCACCAGACGAAACGTTCTGACTTCACGATCATTAAGAGGAAAACGAGGCATTGCAGCCATTGCATGTTCGTGGTTGATTCCTATTGGACTATTGTAACGAGCTGCCATGTACTGATTTATAAAAGACGGATCAAACATGAATATACATATAAATGTATAAATAGATATACGAACAGAGGGTAATTTATGCCGTTACCTGGTTGACTTATACTGTTGAATTTATCATCTTGTGTTTCGTGTTGATTTTTATGAGTATCTTARCTTTGCGAAAACTATCAGCTCACCCTGCTATTGAAGACAGTCTTGGAGAAGTGCAAAGACAACTGCGAAGAACGGCATTTTAACAGCAGATCGGATTCTCTTTAAGAATCCAATCTGCTGTTAAAATGGTGCTGTATTCATCACTCCTTTACACATGTTGCTACTTTCCCGTTCACATCTTAGACTTTGCTTACAGTCTACAAGTGCATGTTTGCTTCTACTTTTCTGCAGGAATTATCAACTAGCTTCTGTGTTGATTGGTCGCCGACAGCTACTTTTTTCTCTTGGTATTTCCTTCCTCTTGTAAACTCTTGCTTTAGTTCTTGTATCTTTTGCGTTTGCTTGACCGATTTTCGTGAAGCTGCGAAAAATTTATTATCTGGTACAACACAGCCTACAGGTGCTCAACAAGGACTTTGATGATATAATAACTTTATCAAAAAGAGAATGGTAGCCATTGGAGGCCAAATTGTACTCT